CAGGCTGTCCAGCAGGGAGCAGTAAGGATGTGGCTTAGAATTGTAGTCCCCAACCTTTTTGGCACCAGGGACGGGCACTCCTATGAAAATCTAATGCCTGATGATCTCAGGTAGAGCTGAGGTGGTGATGCTAGCACTGCAAAGAGAAATTAAGCTTTGCTTACTCGACTGCCGCTCACCTCCTGCTGTGTGGCGTGGTTCCTAACAGGCCACGGACTGATACCGGTCCACAACCCAGGGGTCTGGAGCCCCTGGCTTGGAGGATTAAGGGCTGCTAAAGGAAGTTTGAGTGGGGAACTGATAACCAAAGTCATTCTGAACTGCTGCCGTCCTCATATGATGAAAGAAGAGGAAGAGCAGGCCAATAAGGAGCTGCGCTGCTCAGTGGGCTCCTCCTTGGGCGGCTGGAACCACTTGGGTGGCCTGAGAGATCTGATATACTGTGCCCCTGGAATGCCTGTGGAAGTGGGTGAGGTCCAGTCCTCACCTTACCCCCAGCCCCTTCCAAGCCCTGTAGTCACTCCGTTCTTTCTGCAGATGTGTCCTGGAGGTGGTAGGTGGGGGGATAAGGGGGGTTGTGGTAAATCCAAGAACACCCCAGCTGGCCAATTTAGATGGTTGGCACTGGTCCCAAAGCTGTCTCAGCATTGCAAATTGAGACATTTGGTGCTTATCATGTCCTCTAGCCTCTGACCCACCACAGCCTTTTCTTCCCCACACCAAAGACACCAGCTGCATAGAGGAGGGACTAACAAATATTTCTGAGCACCAACTATGTGCTGGGTTCTATTCTAGGTGCTGGGGGACTTAGCAGCAGGTCATTGCCCTTGGAAAGCTTATAGCCTAGTAAGAGTGACAAACAATCAGCTGACTCGAGACATGAATAGGTGAGACTGTGGCAAGTGCACTGAAAGAAGAAATAACAGGGAAGTTGATCTGGGAAGGCCATCCTGAGGAAGAAACATGTGAGCTGGAGACCTGATGGCTACGAAGGAGGCCACCACACTAACCAGGAGAAGAATGTTTCAGCAGAGGGAAGAGCATGTTCAAAGGCCCTGAGGTGAGAAAGACTTTGGCTTGTTTGAAAACTGAAAGGACATCGGTGTAGTGAATGAGGGAATGTATTCACTTCTTATTGTTGCTGCAACAAATTACAACAAACTTAATAGCTTAAAACAACACAAATTACCACTTCATATTCATTAGATTGCTACTATTTTTTTTTTAAAGCAGAAAACAAGTGTTGATGAGGATATAGAGAAAATTGGAATTGTGTATCATTGGTCTGAATGTAAAATGGTGCAGCTGCTGCACCATTAAAATTAAAAATAGAACTATAATATGATCCAGCAATTTCACTTCTGGGTATACACACAAAATAATTGAAAGCCAAGTCTCAAAGAGATATTCGTATATCCATGTTTTCCACAGCATTGTGCATAGTAGCAAAAGGAGGAAGGAACTCAAGTGTCCATTGACAGATTAATGGATAAACAAAATGTGCTATATCCATACAATGGAATATTATGCAGCCTTAAAAAGGAAGGAAATTCTGACAAATGCTACAAAATGAATGAGCCTTGAGGACATTATGCTAAGTAAAATAGCCAGTCACAAAAAGACAAATGTCATATGATTCTACTTATATGAGATACCTAGAGTAGATAAAAATCTCTGTAGACAGAAAGTAGAATGGCAGTTGTCAGGGGCTAGGGGGAGTGAGGAATGGGGAGGTATTGTTTAATGGGTATAGTTTCAGTTTTACAAAATGAAAAGAGTTATGGAGATGGATGGTGGTGATGGTTGTATAACAATATGAATATATGTAATACCACTTAACTGTACACTTAAAATGGTTAAGATGATAAATGTTATATGTATTTTACCACAATAATAAATTGGAAACCTCCCCAAGAAATTTATAATCTTTCAGTCTGGAGGTCAGAAGTCGCAATGGATTTTACATGGCTAAAATCAAGGTGTTGGCATAGCTTAGTTCTTTCTGGAAACTCTAGGGAAAAATAAGTTTCCAGCTTCTTGAGGTTGCCTCATTCCTTGGCTGGTGGCCCCTGCCTCCATCTTCAAAGCAGATAGCTCCAACCTCTGCTTCTGTCATCACATCACCTTCTGTCCCTCTGATCTATCTCCTTAAAAGGATCCCCATAATTCCATTGGGCCCCTCAAATAATCCAGGATCATTTTCCCACCTCAATATTTCTAACTTAATCACACCTGCAAAGTTCTTATTGCTACATAAAGTAACATATACATACCTTCCAGGGATTAGGATGTGGACATCTTTGGGGGCCATTATTCCATCTCCCACAGGGCAAGTAGAGTGGTAGAAGATGAGCTGAGGAAGGTTAGCAGGGAATAGGATGTGTGGGATATCTAATTAACTAATTATAAATTGTAACAAGAGCAGCAATACCTTCTGATTTACTTTTTTAAAAACCCATCCTGGTTCCACTGGGTGGAGAATGGGTTGCAGGTAGAGATGACAGCATTTGCTCATGGATTTGATCTAGAACTGTCCACACTGGTGTGCATTCTCCCTCAGAAGTCGCCTGTCTCCCAGCCTTAAAATCTGGCACGTGGAAAAGCACACTCTCCGAGTAGGAGGATGACCAGTGGGCCACAAACAGAGGAATCTCTGGGTAGCATATTTGAGGCTGGAAGTCTTTTTGCGGACCAAGGATAAAGAGATAAAAATGATTCACAGTCCTGCTGTGCCCCACCCCTACACCTGCCTGCTGAAGGAGGCTGTTTGCTCATTCCAGTTCTCTATCCCCTGAACTTAAGAGGTCTTGGGGTTTTCTGGAGGCACAATTGGAAAAAATAGAAGAGGGAGGCAGAATCAGAGACAGGAGACCACTGGGTGCTCTCTGCATTAGACTACACAGCCCTTGGCTGTAGGATATGTGAAGTCACCACAACTCATTCTGCTAGGAGACCAAATATGATTATCCCTCTGGTAAATGATAAATGTATCAACCCTCCATATGCATTTGTGTTTGTTTATGGAGTCTTAGAACTGAGGATCCAAAAAAATTTTTAAAGGCATCTATTTCCACCTCCAAGCTGGTGCTCGAATGTATCTTCAATATTTTCCTCAAGTCACCAGATGGCTTCTGCTTGCACATTTCTAGTATCAGGGAACTCATTACTGATCAAGGCAGCTCATTCCATGGATGGACAACCCGAACTGTCAGAAAGTTCTTTCTTAAGTGTGTTTCCCTGTCATTTTCACCTTTCTGCCTCAGTGTTCCCCTCTGGAGAAACAGAATAAATCTACTCTGTCCTCTCCAGGAAAGCACTTCAGATAGCCAATGGCCTGGAAGGAAAGTCTCTGTGGTCCCTTTAATTATTTCTCATCAGACTTGATTTGAAGTGCCCCCTCCCCTCCTCCTCCCAATCCCAGTCAGCTGTTGGACAAGCTCTAGTTTTCCACATCCATTTTCAGTGTGTGTCTAGAAGACCCAGAACTCCTGGAGTGCCTGGCTGACACAGAGGAAATGGGACCACCACCATGCTCCTTTTTCTAAGGCCCAGACTTGGGTTCCAGCAGCCTAATTCACTACTTTTAGCAGCTCCACCACACTCCTGTTTCATATTTTGCATCCTGTTAAGTAAAATCTTAATTTTCGTGCTCACTGCTGTCACGAACAACATTAGTTTAAATGTACATAGTATCCATTTAAATATATCCCATTGCTTTATATTTATATCTGGAAAATTATATGGTTATATTTTAGTACTAAACATAAAAGATAAAAATAATCTCAGGTTCTCTCCCTGATGTTCAGGGGAACAGACACTGTCAGAACGACAGAGAGAGGGCAGAGTAGGGCCTGAGAATGGATGTGAATGTCCAGCACAGAGGCGAAGCATTTATTTTTCAGTAGTCTTTGTGGCCTTAAGGCAAATTTACATACAGACAGGCAGGATAATAGGGGGAAATACTGTAGAGAAAAGGGCAGAAAATTGAAGCCTAGCAAACGGATTCAAATCCCAGTCCTACCACTTCCCACTGTGACCTTCGGCAAGTTGCCTCACCTTCTGGAGCACCGTAATGGAGGAAACAATATTCCCGTTGTCTACCTTAAACAGGTATTCTCTGACGAAAGCGCTAACTTAAAGTCCTGAAAGACCTTGATTAATTGGAGTGTTAGGAGTGTTATATTACACTCCTAAAACTTCAGCGCCTTAATAATCTCTCTAGTCTCACGCTCATACCTCTCTAACCCTGCCACTGAAGGCTGCCCCAGTTGTACTCTTGGCCAAATCCAGGGCATAGCAGTGGAAGGTCCTGAATTCTAAATCCTTTAATTGAACTACCCAGAGACCTCCCCAAACCTCAGTTTTCTCATCCGTTTAACGTATAACAGGGATAAACACAGGTAAGGGAGGGAGGATGGAGGGGGGTGTGTGTGTCCGCGCGCGAGAGAGAGAGAGAAAGAGAGAGAAATGGCTCTGTACGCCACAACGTACAATGGTCATTCTTAGGTATCTGGAGCCGAGATGATGAAATCCAAACCCAAGCCTCTGAACCTGCCCCGAGATCGGAGGCCAGCGGTGCCACAGGGCTGCGTAGCCACAGGATGCTGACAGGAGATCCCTCTGCCTCCGCGCAGGGGAGGCTGGTCGGTGCCACCGGATTGGACTGCTGGGCGTGGGCGGAGCCTGCGGAAGCTGCGTTTCCGGCCGCCTCCGCCGCTGTTGCCAGGAGAGACAGCTTGGGGAGGCGGAAGGAGCCGGCGATTAGTCGGTCCCCAGCAGCCACCGGAGCGGTGGCGGCCATGGCGGTTTCGGAACCTGGGAGTCGGAGCTGGTCCTTCTGTCCGGAGGTGCCATCCGCCACCTTCTTCACCGCGCTGCTCTCGCTACTGGTGTCTGGGCCCCGCCTGTTCCTGCTGCAGCCGCCCCTGCCGCCCTCCGGCCTCTCGCTGAGATCTGATTGCCTGCGCAACTGGCAAGGTGAGCAGGGCGGGGAAGGGACCCCGGTACCAGTCCTTTTCCTCCGACCTCGCCAGGGCCTGGGCTTCGGCTTCCCAGCACCTGCGCCATCATTCCTTACCTCCAGCTACTCCGTCCGCATCATCATTCTACCCACCCGGAGGAACAGCCGCATATTCCACGTCTTTGTCTCTCCAAGCCTCATCTTAGTCATCAACTGTAATCCTTCCCTTCCCAAATTTGTTCCCTTTCCTGTCTTCGCCTCCAGACTGACAGCCCCCACATACATACGCAAGCAAGCAAACCGTTTTCATTCACCCATGCGCTCTCTGTTAGGAAAAGGATTTTTTCTCTCCTTTGTCGTACACACACTTCCGTCTGCTTTAGGGCCTAACTCTCACTGAAAAATTTTTTTTCTCTCGCCTTAATCAAGACGTTTGAGCTTTATCTATAGCTACCCCTGTAAGGTTCCTGGTCTCTTGAGGTTTAGGATTTCTTTCGCTTCTTCGTTTGTATCTTAATTCTGACTCAGATTCCCAGCTCTGAGTCAGGAGGAGAGAGGGGCATCTTGTGCCTTTGGGAGAAGTGTGTTTTTTTTTCCCGAGGGGAGAGGAATTTTGCAGACCATTAAGTATAAACATCAGCTCATAAAATTTCATTTTTTTCTGGGGAGTAAAATGGGAAATTTGTATAACTTGCTGTTTTGCAAAGCACAATTACATGCATTAAATTCATTCAGTCCTCTCGAAGATCCCATGACGTATGTAGGCTTTATTATTGCCCATTATTTAGATGCTGCTGAGGCTTAATGCAGAGAATTACAGAGCCATTAAGTCATAGAATTGAGACAGAACCCAGATTTTTTTTTTTTTTTTAATTGTGTGACATTTTGGAACTAGAGTCTTGGGGGTATATAACCCCCAAATCATATAGAGTTGCTTCTAGAAACTTCACATTTATACTTGGAATTTCAGTTTTAGGAGAGTTCAACAAATAATGAAGTACTCTTCAGATAATGAAGCCTGACAGAAATGGCCTGAGGTTCATAGCCTGGCTCCCTGCTCAACTCTAAAACTATCCCCTACTCCCACTCTGACACAGAGCTTGTCATAGCCAGAAGCAAAATGTTGGCAGAAACCGAGCTCCCTTTTTTTCTTAACAGCCTCTCTGAGTGTGGGGTTCATGGGCAAGTGAACATTAAATGCATAAGAGACTACGAAGGCCTCAAGTGTAATCATGGTACTTTATATTTAGGAAACTGAAGCCCCAAGAGCCTGTGACTTGACTAAGCTCAGCTAACTCGTATGTGATGGAGCCAAGATTCCACTCCAAGTCTTTAGGCTCCCAAGTCCGATATTACTGTCACTTCACCAGTCCTCTCTTTCAGCTTAATGTTTTGGCCTGCAAGGACATAAAAGTACGTAAGAGATATCTGACTGCTTTTTAGAAGAACAAAAGTGAGATTCTTTGCTGTTTTATTGCACATAAAACATCACTCTCCCTGTAAGATTGGATAAGCACTTTCAAAGAAGACTTCTGGTTCAATATTTATATTATTAGTGATAGTTTTTTAAAATCTTTTATATCTAGATTATAGTGATAATCTTTATAGGTGCAAAATAATTCATGGTCCCTTTTTTCTTCCTCTGAACAGCCACTATGGAAGGAGAGGTCAGGATTACAACCGAGGAGACTGGCACACAGAGTGTTAAGGGACACCCACTCAATCCACCCTGAAGCTGTTACAATTAATTAACCCTCAAACTGCCTGGTGAGATAGGTCAGTATTAAAACCTAAAAAAGGGGCATAAAGCAAATTACAAATTCAAAGACCATCCCATGCTAAAAAGTATTTTTCCCCCACGTGGAAGTCAGTCACTGATAAGACTTACTCCAGGTCCGGGAAAGAGCAGGGATTTAGACATTCATGCCTCTACTTTGAGTCTTGGGTCCTTCATTGTGGTCTCCCACTGCTTATCTTGGCTCCTGGCTGATTTTCACTGGCTTTCAGTGCTCTATCATGGGGGCTATTCCCCCTTTTCTAGGTGGGTTGTAACCTTTCCCTCCTTGGAGCAATCCACTGTCAGGCCTCTAACCCAGCTTCCTCTGCAGTTTACAGGCTGGTGACCTACATCTTTGTCTATGAGAATCCAGTCTCCCTGCTCTGTGGTGCTATCATCATCTGGCGCTTTGCTGGCAATTTTGAGAGAACCGTGGGCACCGTCCGCCACTGTTTCTTCACCGTGATCTTCGCCCTCTTCTCCGCTATCATCTTCCTGTCGTTTGAGGCCGTGTCATCGCTGTCGAAGCTGGGGGAGGTGGAAGATGCCAGAGGTTTCACCCCAGTGGCTTTTGCCATGCTGGGCGTCAACGCTGTCCGCTCTCGGATGAGGAGGGCCCTTGTGTTTGGCATGGTTGTACCCTCATTGCTGGTGCCATGGCTCCTGCTGTGCGCCTCCTGGCTTATTCCCCAGACCTCTTTTCTCAGTAATGTCTGTGGCCTTGGAATTGGGCTAGCATGTATCCTTCCTAGGAGGGAATTGTAGAACGATGACATCCCAAAAGGCGAACCAAGTTGGGAGGGTCTGAGGAGTAACATAGGTAGAGCCTTGGGCTCAGATGTAGGTAACCTGGGTTCTAGCTTCAGCTTTGAAAACCATGTGGCCTTGGGCAGGTCACCTCCCTTCTCTAGGCCAGAATTTCCTCATCTGGAAAATATCAACATAGCTATCTCCTTGTGCGGCTCAGCACTGCCAGTTAGTAAAATATTCTGATTTGATTTTTTTTCTTATAAACTAAGATGTAAATATATATTTAACTGGTTATGATCAGAGTTTTCATTGAAAGAATCTGAAATACCCATGAGCTGGAGATGTTCCATAAAAGGAATAGGAAACAGGTTTTTTTATTTTTGTTTGGTTTAGTCTTTTTCTCAGAAAAAAAAAATTGATAGGCTTTTACCATATGGGGGGTAAAAAACTTAGGATAAGCCTTAAATCCCTGTATAAATATTCTGGCAATTAGAGAAAAGAAATTTAAAATACAAACGGTTACTTTTTTAAGTATCAGAATTGGTAGTGTTGGGGATTAGGTACATTCCTAAAATCTTTTTCAATTTATGATTCTATAAGCTATTAGGATAGGTAGTGTATAAAATCACATTGATAACATAGCTCTTATTTATTTTTTAATTTTAATTTAATTTCATTGATTTTAAATGTTTTTTTCTAATAAAATTTAAAGCTATATACTTCCCTGTAAGCACTACTGTAGCTCTATCCCACAAATTTTGATATGTTAACATTATTCAGTTAAAAGTATTTTCTAATTTTCCTTGGGATTTCTTCTTTGATCCAGGAATTATTTATAAGTGAATTGCTTAATTTCTAGATATTTAGTGATTTTTCAGATTTCTTTTTATTATTGAACTCTAATTTCATTATATGAGGTAAGAGAACATTTTTTTTGTAAGATTGCAGCCCTTTTAAATTGTCGCTGGCTCAGCATTTGGTACATATTGGTCATTGTTCTATGTGTATGTGAAAAGAATGCTTTCTGCGATTGGTGAGTATGGTATTCAGTATGTATTTGTTAGGTCAAGATGTTGATGTTGTTTAAGCTTTCCATATCCCAGTACTTGTTCTATCAATTACTGAGAGGGTTATTGAAATCTCCAACTAAAATTGTGGATTTGTCTATTTTTTTCTTTCAATTCTTGCCACTTCTTGCTTTAAGTATTTTGAAACTCTATTATTGGACACATACACATTTAGGATTATTATGTCATTTTAATGAATTCACCCTTTATCGTTATGAAATTGTTCCTTTTAATCTTTGATAATATTCTTTTCCCTGAAGTCTTAATTATCTGATATTAATAAGTTATTCTAGCTTTCTACTTAAAATTAGGATTTGTATGGTATATATTTTTCAATCTTTATATTTTTAACATGTTTTGTCTTTATATTTAAAGCATGTTTCTTGTAGATAGCATATAGTTGGTGCTCTAATCTGACAATCTCTGTCTTTTAAAAGGCATATTTAGCTCATTTACATTTAGTGTAATTATTGATTTGGTTGGAGTTAAGTCTGCCAGCTTGCTGTTTGTTTTCTCTTTGTCCCAGTTGTTCTGTTTGTTTTCTCCTGCCTTCAATTACATTTTTTTTTAGTATTTTATCTTTTCTGTTTGCTTATTAATTATACTTCTTTGTTTTATTTTTCAGTAGTTGCTCTGGAGTTTACAATATGCATTTTTAGTTTATCACAGACTACTTTCATATAGTATACCACTTTGTATATGATATAATGTTATAGCATTATATTTCTATTTTTCTGCTTCCCATCCTTTGTGTTATTGTTATCATATATTTTACTTCTACTATGTTATAAACCTCACAATACATTGCTATTATTTTTGTTTTAAACAGTCAATTATATGTTTTTAAATTAAAAGAGCAACATTTACTCACATATTTACTCACATTTACCATTTCTAGTTCTTGTCATTCTTTTGGGTAGATCCAAATTTCCATCTGGTATCATTTCCTTTAGTCTGAAGAACTTCATTTAACATTTCTTGTATAGTGGATATGCTGGTGACCAATTCTCTCAGCTTTTGGTTATCTGAAAATGCCTTTATTTTACTAAATATAGAGTTGTAGCTTTATCTAATCTCCTTTCACTTTTAAAGATGTCATTGCATTACTTCTGGTTTGTCCTGTTTCTGATGAGAAATTAGTAATCATTTTATTGTTTCCCTGTATAATTCATTGTTTTTTCTTTATTAATTTTTAGCTATTATCATGTGTTTTTCTTTGTGTTTACTTTCTTGGAGTCATTGCCATTTACACATATGTTAGCCTTTTTTTTTTTTTTGCTTTACATTTCGGTTTGATTAGTTTCTATCACACTGCCTTCGAGTTCAATCATGTTTTCTTCTGCAGTATCTACTCTGCTGTTAAACCCATCTAGTTAGTTTTTTATTTGTCATCTTGCATATTTCAGCTCAAGAGTTTCCATTGAGATTATTCATCATTATGTTTATGTTTTCATTTAAACACATACTCACCCATTTGTAAAGGTGTGAGTATGATACCATCATCTTGTCAATATTATTTCAGTTCTGGATCTATTTCTTTTGACTGATTTTTTTTCCTGATTATGGATCCCATTGTTTTGCTTCTTTACTTGTCTTATAATTTTTTATTTTATACTATACATTGTAAATGCTATGTTAGGGCTGAATTTTGTTCTTTTCCTTTAAAGAGTGTTGATTTTTTTTTCTGATAGGCAATTTACTTGTTAAGGTTTTGCCTTTTGGAAGGTCTATTCTGAATGTCTTGGGTGTTCAGTGGGTTGTCTTTACCCATTCTGGTTAGAACTTGATCATGTCCCTGTCCTGAACTCCAGGAGTTGTTAAGCTTTTAGTTGTTGTTTCCTCAGTAGCTGTTCTTTACCTGGTTCGAGGAGTCTCAGCTTAAGTATGTGCATATTTGTATTCAGCAAAAGACTCAGGGAACCCCTGCACACATTTCTGTAGGTCCTTCTGTGAGCAGCTCCCTCCTTTCAATTACTCTGACCTTTAAATTCTAGGCACTTTTTCCTCTCTGAACGCTGTCTCTCCAGCTCAGCTAAAAATGCTCTACGATGCTTGGATTCTGCTTACTATACTATAGTTTGGAAAATGCCTCTAGATAGAAAGCCAGCTTGATCTTGAGGCTTACTTCATTTGTTTCCCTTTTCTTAGGTATCACAGTCTGGCAGTGTTTGTTGTCCAAAGTCCAAAAACAATTGTGTAAAATATTGTATTTTGCTTTGTGGTGGGAGGACTAATCTACTGTTATTACTTCCTCAGAGTCAGAAGTGGAACAGATTCTTTAGTTCATTCTGAAGTCATCAGCCATGACAACTTCTGACTTTCTTACAGCATTGGTTTTCATCTGGAATCTTCCTCCCTGAAAGAATTTAGAAATATTCATGGACATTTTTGGTTATCACAATGACTAGGTGTACTGCCATTTAGTGGCCGGTGACCAGGGATGGTAAATGTCCTATAATGAATGAAATGGCCTAACCCAGCAAAGAATTGTGTTGAAAATACTAGTAGCATTCGAGTTGAGATCACTGTCTCAAGGGACAACTTTCTCTTGGTAGTTCTGTAGGGAAGCCTTCTCTTCACCACCATCCCCTGTCTAGCTATTGCTACTCACAATTTAGGGTTCAGCCTTCCCCAATCTCTCTACACTAGGTTAAGGTTCCCAGCAGCATCTTCCATAGATCAGCTTTTGCTTATCACCGATCGTTCTACCCCAGTTACTTACTTCCTATCTGACCATTATCACTTATTCCTTAGTTTCTGGTACCTGTTAGATATTCAGTTTAACTATTTGTTGAAAGGATAGATGGATTGATGAAGGCTGAATCTTTGTGGCTGCCTAGGCAGCGGTGGGCTGGCAGATCAGATGACCAGAGTGCCATCACATCACTGGGGGAAGTGCTGTCCACATGAAGCTCACTTGGTCATATTGAGGCAAGGTTTCTTCTATTTGGGACAAAAGTACAAGATGATGTCAGTTCTCTCTATAGGATATTAGGAAAGCCTCATGCCTCATCCCACTGCAAGGATAGAGGTGTGTGCTGGCTTATAACTCTGATCTCAGGGATTAGAGGGGCTTAAGATGTGGGATAGCGTTGACATAGGAGAAGGTGAAGCATTAGCTCCTATCTGCCCTCAATTGCTGGGTTAGGTTCCATCTGAGGTACAGGGCATAGAAATTCAACTCTTGCTTACTCCTAAGCTTGAAACTCCAATTAGAATTTATGGTGGAAAAAGCACTGATGCCCCTGTAGAATAAATTTGGGAACCTGTATTCTTCTGTGGGAGGTGTTCAGCCCTATCCCTTTAGCTGCCTCCAATTTTACTTAACATACCAACCTCAGATGGCGTCACATACTGCTATTCCCTCGACCTATCAGAGCGAGTAGCATTGAAGCTCGACCAGAAGTTCCCCTTCAGCCTGATGAGGAAGATTTCAATGTTCAAGTATGTCTCAGGCTCTTCAGCTGAAAGGAGAGCAGCCCACAGCCGGAAGTAAGTTACAGAACCTTTAAGTCTTATTCTTAAAGCAATTCCAGGGCCTGTAGAGGGTGTGACTGGTTCAGTGTCATGGGGACAAAGGAATTCGGTGTGGGCAGCCCTGGGCCCAGAAAATCTATGCACCGATGTCTTCTGAGCACTCTAGATTCTGCCCAGCTGCATCTGAAGTAGGGAATAAAAAAGGAAGGCATTTGAAGCACTATGGGTGATCCTGAGTGACTTGTGGCAGACTGTGGAAGAGAGTGGCCCTATCTAGCGTTATTAGCAATCTTCAGCACTGAGAAGAACTCACTGCAGGTTGAACTGGGCTCTGGCATGGCATATTGGCAAGCGTAAATAGTCACACAGCTTACGTTGTAGCTTAGGAGGTGGCACAGCCCGAGACCTGCGAGGTGGGGTTTTCTTGGCCACTTAATAAGAGAAGGTGAAGTTTACTGTCTTCTAGTCCAGGCTCAGTAACTCTCAATGGAAAGTGCTAGGCAAGCCGTCAGAGCTGATGTAGCCTTATTCCTTTTTTTTAGAGAGGAAGCCCAGAGAGGACCGTAGTTTTCTCCAGGTAACACTGAGACCCAGTCTAGAGCTAGGGTCTCCTGCTTCCAGGTCCTCTTCACTCCCTCTCCATTGTCCCACACCACAGACCTCTGTGTCTTCCCTAGTTTCTGCCCATGCCAAGACTTCACAATGTAGATTTTCTTTCCTTGAACAGTCCCTTCAGAAGGAAAGACTCACTGTGAAATCAAGATGTCAGTGGCCTTTTTCTGCCTTCATCCAGCTGTAGAGTAAATTTTGCACTCTGTGCTGGGCTGGATGCAGGGTTTGAGTTGAGTTGGAAGCTCAGAAATGCGCTTTGTAAGGTCAGGTCTTAATTGAAATATGTACAAGTTCAGTCCTCATCTAACAGACATCAGTGGTGTTGGCATTTGTTCTCTATATTTGGAACTTAGCACAGAAGTTCAGAGGATAAAACCCTTAGAATGTGTCTCTATTCGTGGTCCTAGCCACATATGTCTGTGGTGGGGTCTAACCTCAGCACAGATAGCTCCCCACATCCGTCATGTTGGCTTCTGCCAGCCAGGACTTTGAGCTGTGAGTATTCATTCCTGAGATCTCAGGTAGAAAATCTCCAGCAGACAAAGCCTGGGCCCAAGTCCTGAGTTACCCTGTTAGAGCCCCTCCCACCTTCCTCCCACAGAGGTGGATCATTCTCTTTGGGTAGAATTGCTGGCCACACACACACTGACTGCTGTGATCTGGTCCCCATCTCCATCTGGTTTGCAAGCCGCTATGATTAGGTTACACTAGGTGGTCTCAGCCACCAGCCCAATATCCCTTCCTACTGCTGGCTTGCTGCAGAACTGTGAGTGGGCCCTTTCCTTTCTGAGCATCTGTTTTCTGTTTGGTTGAGATTAACCTTTCTCCCTGCTTGGTACTTAGATCTTGGCACTTAGATCCAGTTACAGCCAAAGTCCAAAGCATGTTGTAATATAAAAAGAGTACGACAGCCCCAAGCGGAACGACAGCTGGGGTTGCTGTGTGCCTTCCCACTTCTAGCTGAATGACCATTTTCTCTCTTGTTCCATTCCAGGCTGAACCCTGTGCCCGGCTCCTATCCTACACAGAGCGGCCACCCTCACGTGCCCCCGAGCCACCCTGTTGCCCAGATGCAGCATGCCAGTGGCCAGAAACTAGCCTCCTGGCCAGCCTGTGCTCCTGGGCATATGCCCAGCCTGCCTCCCTACAAGCCTGCCTCTGGCCTGTGTTATGTGCAGAACCATTTTGGCACAGCCCCTAACTCTTTCGGTGTCTATCCGGCTTCTGCAGGGGCCTCCCTGGGGGTTCAGCCCCCTGCCCCCCTCAACTGCCCTGGCACTGTGTATTCTGGGGCCCTGGCCACTCCACCAACTACAGGCTCCAAGGAGGGCACAAGGGTCCTGATCCCCTAATGGGGAAGTTATCTCACAGGAAGTTATCTTGGCCTCTGAAGAAGGTCCTCTCCGAGCTAAGGTTTTCTTGACAAAAAAATTATTTATTGAACACCTCTATGTGCCAGGCTCTGTGTTGAGTACTTTGATATATGTCCCTATTTCCTGTCCTGCCTCCCAAAGAACACCTGGGAGAAGAGGGCATTGTCAGTGGCTGCCAGTGGCTACCTGCAGCTCTGCATTTCCTTCCTGTGACTGTGTGTAGTGCTCTTGGTTATACAGTGTCTGTGTGTCTGTGTCTGCCCTTCGGGAGCTCCCAGCTAGTGTGCTTGGTGGTCCCCAGGCCTCTGTTGTTTCTCCCCCACAGTGACCACCACACCCCCACCCCAGACTTGTGGTGAGAAGGGCCGGTGTGAACCACAACAGCATGCTGGTAGATCCATAGTGTCGATTACCTTTGTATAAAGAAAAATCTTCTGACATGCCTTTGGTCTGTGGTCTGTGCTCTGGCTGGGGAATATGGAGAGCAGGATTTGGCAGTGGTGATGCAGGGTGTGATGGCAAAGAGGAGAAATATATCAGGGGTCAAGTCAGGCCAGTGGCCTCCACCCAGCAGGGATCTGACATGGGGAATGAGTTGCAAAGGTGCTGGGTGAACTGAAAGGGCAAACAAGGTTTGGCAACCCTGAGATTGGTGACAGCAAGAAGCTACTAGTGCTCTTAGGGTGGAGGGGGTATTACCAGAGCTCCAGGTAGGACTACCACGAGGACTGCCTGGCGAGACCGTGTACCAAGTAGTGACGGGCACTGGCAATGATGACATCTAAAGCAAGATTGGAGGAGCAGAACCCTAGCTTTTCTGCCTGTCACCTAACATCAGGGTCTCCCATGGGACAGATGAACCAGGAACCTGTTGGCAAATGAGCCCAGGAAATGTAGTTTGGGTTGGAGAGTAGCCCCTCTGATGCAGGACAGGAAAAGACAGGAATGTGAGCCAAAAGGTGCCTGACCAGCCTAAGGAGAGCTCATTGCTTCTAATAAGCCATCAGCTGGAGTGCCTTGTGGTGGGCTCACATGGAGAAAGGCCAAGTTGCAGATATTTCAATGGATATAACACATGACCTTCATTTATTCTAGGCACTGGATAGCGTGCTCTAGGCTGGCTCTTTGATAGGTCCTGAGTATTAGAAGTGGATAAGATACTTACAAATCCATCCACCCACATTAGAGCAGGCATCGTTAGGCACCTGAGTGGCCAACACTGGGTGACAGGGGTGGAGGATGTAGCTGGATAGTGAAGTAGGATCACCAGTCAAGGAGTTGGGTGCCGAGAATATAGCTGGGACTTGTCTGCAGTCACAGAGCAAGGCTGTCAGGGCCTGGCTTATGGCCTCTGTCTCCAACTGCACCTGGTACCTTTCCTATAGTGTCAGTGAGTATGGGCTGTCGTGTGTCCCTTAGACGTTTTTCCTCCAGTCTCAGGCCTGTACCTGAAGCAGATAAGAGGGCCACTTGTTCCTAGTGTGGCAGAGTGACATCCCTTGTGTCTGTCCCTCCTGCATGGACTATGCTGTGGAGCTGCAGAGGCCCTGGGCCTTGGAGATGGTCTGGCTGGGGGACCATTTCACAGGTCCCTGAGTAGCAGAGCTGTGAGGGTCCTCCGAGGCCTTTCAGTCCAACAGTCTCACCTACCTCTGGTTTTACTTACACGGTGTTCCAGGAAGGCAGGATGGCGCTTGGCAGAGCAAACAGTAGCTGCTCCTGACTCGGGCCCCTGCCACAACTGCTGCTCTGAGACTGGATCTTTGTTTCCCTGGACTTCCCTTGGTCTGGCCACAGCTAACAGCAGGCAGCCTGGAGCCAGGTAAGAGGGGGGCCATTTCTCCCCTCAGTATTAGAGGATCTATAGGGGATCCTTAACCTCTCCCCTGTTTGCTTGTTGAATCATCCACCAGTGTGTCTTATGTCGGAAAACACTGAGTGTGTGCCAAGCCTCAGGCTGGGGCTAGAGACTGAGATGAAGGTCCAAATCTATCCAGACCTTTGTGGGCAGAGAACCACAAACACGAGGCTGTCATTCAATAAATATTTGTTGAACGAATGAATGAACAGATAATTCCTGCCTTTGGGGAACTCATTCTGGGGCAGGGGTAAAGGGAAGAATGAACAAAGAATTGTAATTCAGAAACACTTTTCAGTCATTCAGAGGTTCCCCCCAGACCAACCTGGGGACTTGGAGAGCAGGAGATCAGTCAGATACAAGCACGCACCCTTCCATGGAGAAAGAGCGGGGCTTTGGAGGAAGAGGAGGACGGCACCAACTATGTTCTCTGGCTGTTAGGAGAACGAAGAACACAGCGCATTCGGCATAAGGGAAAGCCATTATTCCCTGCACTCTCCAGACCCCTCTCCTGTTCCCAGGCAGGGCAGGTCCCACTGCACTCAGAGAAGCTTCCAGATTTTGTCTAGTTTCCCTGCTTCGTCAGCCGGAGACAGCAGAGAAGCAGAATCGCACTGTTGGCAGCCTCCACAGACCTTCCCTGGGGCAGGTTGTGCTCCCCAGCGCTGGCTCCCTGGGGGAAAAGGCTGGCTCCTGTCCAAGGAATTCACTGAGGGCGTCCAATTTGCAGATAACTACAGCACAAGAGAAGGGCTATAAGAGGCACATATGTGCAATCCTGTGAGGCTTTGTTCCTTTATGCACCTGTTCATTCTTTCATTTAACAAACACTTTGTGAGCAACTACTGAGTTCCAGGCCTATGCCAAGCTCTGGGGACATGATGGAATAGAACCAGCCCTGCCTTGGGTACACTCAGTTCATTAATGGAGACATGCTATGTGGAGTGAGACAGAGAAAGGAGCCTACCTGAGAGGGTCAGAGAAGAGACTTCTGGGAAGAGGATAGTTAACTGGACAAGAGAGGGACCAAAGAAAGGAAGGTGGGGGTCTGTAGGTAGGGCAGAGAATTGGAGCACAGAGGCTGAAAGGGCAGATAGGATATTAGTGGTTGCGGTAGCCCAAGCTGGAAGTGATGAGAGCCCAGCCTGAGGCCCTGGCAATGGGTTTGGATAGGTAGAAACAGTCTAGGGCGCAAAGTGCCTTTCTGGTGTCACATTAAGCGTGTAGCTGAGCTGAGAATATGCATGCAATTTTCTCATTTGAAGTGCAGGCTCCTGTCCAGCCCAAAGGTGCCTGCTTGCTCACATTGAGTGGGGTAGGGGAGAGCCCAGAGTAGGGTTGGAAGCAGGACAGTCCTGTAGGATGAAGTGTCCCCACCCTTGGAACTGTCGGGGAAAGGGAGCTGTCCATCAGAGGGGAGTTGGACCCTTGGGCTCCTGAGACCCATAGGAGTACCTCTCCAGCCTCCATTCCAGGATGCTTTCTGAACTGTGATAGGCTGGTCCATGCCTGGACAGCTGCCAGCTATAAGAGAAACATCCCAGCCTGGCCCTGAAGCTTGGATTCTAAGGGACCTCCATGCTATCTCCAGATCACAGGCTACCTGGTACCTTGCTCCAAGGTTGTTTTGAGCCTAGAGCACCTCTCCAAGGAAGGTCTCCAAAGGCTTGCCTACTCAACCCTACCGTTGAGCCATGGCAAGCTCACTTCCCAAGGCTGCCTTTTTAATGGAACTCCTCCTCTAGAAGGCCTAGCTACAGCCCCCCAGGCACCAAAAGCCAGGTGGGCTGCCCATTGAGGTGGCTCTGGGACAGCTTGGGCTTTCCCAGTGCCCAGGGCAATTGGAACCATGCAGCCCCTCCCCCAACACACACATATCATACTCAGGCACATACAAACATACAACATTTTGAGCTCACAAATCTGAGCCCTCACCCACACATCAATTCAAGTTAAAACAGGTAAATACCCACTCACAAAATGTACACCTGTGTGGTTAAGGCACATACCTACATATATTCATACCTGTCCATGCCCAAAATCATACATAAGCCGATCTGTGCACAAGTATATGCTGTACGTACATGCACATATACATGTCACTTCACCGAGGAAAGGGAGCACTCAGGTGAGAACCACCTAATCCCATCCCTCTCCCTCCACCTAGCCCAACGTGAGCCTAGTCCACTTCCCCAGTCTCATCTCCCAGCACCCTCCTGCCTTTCCCCAAATACACTATGCTGCTGGCACTGTGTGAGATGACCAGACAGCTGGCAGGAAGCCTCCGGTAATGAGCAAAATCTTCAGGAACAGATGTGACCATTTGTGGCCCATGTGAACAACAAGAAACAGGAAAGACCTCTGGGCCTGAACCTCCCCTTCTACCTGCCCATCCCGTCCTGCCTGGAATTGTACCATCAGAGGACCATTCCTATGAATTAGGCTCATCAAACATTGAGGGAACACTGAGGAAGATCCTGAGTCCAACCCTCACATGCACTCAGGATGTGAGGTCCAGGAAGGAGAAGTTATTGAGTGAATCCATGACAGAGCCAGTACAGAACCAAGATCTCCTGACTCTTGTCTTTGCTCTACTGTTCTGGTCATTGTGTGGAGAAGTGGGCTGGTGGACAGTTGGGACCACAAGCAGTCTCAGGCAGGGGCTCTCATCTGGTCTAGCTCAGCCCACTGGAGTGTGCTGACTCAGACATAGGGTCTGGGGTCCCCATGTTCGTGGGCTACCCCGAGGCCCAATTCTATCAGACTCTTACAGAGGAGGGTGGCATTGGTGTCTGGGAGCACTCCAAAGCCTTCCAGGATGGCTGGGCACTCTGGGGAGAGATCAGGAGCTTGGGTAAGAGCAGGTAAGACCCCTCTTTCATCAGGCTGGGCCAGGCCCTGGAGACAGGACACACAGGACCAACCTCATCTGCAGCCTGGGATCTCCCTAGGGAGAGGAGAGCAGAGAGCACCCCTTCCTGGGGCTGGATGGGACTGACCACTACAATCCCATCCCCACCTTTAGCTCCCCTTTTAGGCACCACCTCCCCCTCCGACTCACCCTCCTAAAGGGAGATCTCAGGGGATGCTTTAAGGGCACAGGAGAAATGTTCTCTTTTCTACGAACCCTAACCCTGCCCCTTGCCCCAGACAGGGACATATTCCCTGTACCCTTGGCCTCACCCAGGAAGAAGCAGATCAGGGTGAAGAAGAAAGCCAGCAGCAGCAGCAGCAGCGGGGTGGCCCCATGTAGCACCTCTACACAGTGGCCACAGCAGTAGATCCACTATCTGGGCTGCAACACAAAGAGAAGCTTGCAGCTCAGAGAACAATTACTCCCCCCGAGGGACCCACCTTTCAGCCTCTTCCCTGTCAGTGTAGCAGCCTCCTGGCCCAGCTTCAGGTATCTCCAGGCCCTTCCAAGCCACCCTGGACCCTTTGGTCAGTGTCATGAATTGAACTGTGCCCCCCAAAAAAGATATGTTGAAGTTCTAACCCTGGTACCTGTGAATGGGACCTCCTTTGGAAATAAGTAATCCAGTTTAAGATGAGGTCATACTGGATTAGGGTGCGTCCTAAATCCAACAACTGGTGTCATTCTAAGGCCATGTGAAGACACAGGGACACAGTCATATGCAAGGAGAAGATAGCCATGTAAAGATGGAAGCAGAGATTGGAGTGATATGTCTACAAGCCAAGAGATGCTGAACATTGCTGGAAGCCACCAGAAGCTGGGAAGGGGAAAGGAAGGAATTTTTTCCTCTGAGGAGCCCTGTGGACACCTTGATTTTGAACTTCTAGCCTCCAGAACTGTAAGAGAATAAATTTTTGTTGTTTTAAGCCACCCAGTTGTGGTACTTACAGCAGCCACAAAAAACTAATACAGACAGGTTCATCTCCCCAAATGGCTACATTTGGCACATCATCATCCTGCTCAGAACCTCTGGGAGCTCCCCACTGCCAGCTGCACCTGGCACCCCACCCCTATTTCCTTCCCGCTGCTCTGCCACCCTACCCCTCACCATCTCTCCACTAGTAACCTGGTTGGCTTCACAGCATGCTGTTCTCATTCAGTGGGAGGGAAAAGAGGAAGGCAAGTGGAAGAATAATGAAATTTTGAACTTGGGTGACTGGAGTCTCTGCTAACGTTAGCTAGTCAGACATGAGTGACAGGGGAACAAAGGAATATAGGCCAAGCCTAGAGACCACCCAAAGAACACCCTAGTGGTAGTTAGAGAATCCCTCCTGCATCCCTAGAGACAAAGGACAGGAGGACCATAATTTATAGCTGGTTTAATCTGGCCACAGATGCCTGTGCAGAAGGTACTACCCTGACCTGCCCACAACCTAAGCCTCATTATACCATCATTATAATACTATGTTTATGCCTGGAAGTTCATGAATCTAATTATAACAGACTGAATTCTGGGTAAGCACATGTGCACTAGGCAAAGAGTTATATAGCAACCAAGTGTCAATCAAAATGACCTCACCTGCCAATCACCTAGGAACGCCTTGTAACCACCCATCATAGCCCCCAATACGGAGCTTTCCACTTTAGCGCAGTTACAGCTCTCTTCACTGAAACCCCCTTCTTCCCGCCTTGGAGCATGCTCTGTCTTTCTAAAATCTACTTTTAATAAATCTTTTCTAAATCTCACTGACCTGTGATTCTTCGTTGCATCAGTGAGGAAGAACCGAGAAAAAATGCTAATTACACTTCTGCGTCGTTATTCTCCCCTGCCCCCTACTCCTGCTGCTGGGACGACATCGAAGTTCAAATCGCCCCCAAACGGTACACTAGAAATAAGAAGGCTGAAAGAGGGAAGTGGTCTACAGGTTGGGGAGTCGGGGTGGGCATGCCATTTAGGGCAGTTTGATTTTGAGGGAGCTACAGGGAGGTACATGCAGGCAGAGATGACCTGAGTATGTGCTTGAATACAGACTGGAGACTATAAAAAGTAGCCTTTAGTCCTCACTCCTGCCCACCAGGCCTGAGCCTAATGGTGAGAGCCCTGCATAGGGGCCTCAAAGTGGGCCAGAATTGGTGGCTTTGAGACATAAGGGTGGAGCTCTGAAACAAAGGCAGAGGGATGCCTCCAAAGCTCCAGCAGCCTCTCCCTGGCTATGAGGACAAGTTACCTGGCTTCTCCGAGCCTCAGGTCCTCTTCTGGAAAGAGGGAGAATCCTGCCTGCCTTAC